AATAATTTCTTATTATTAATTAAAATAAACAATAAATAGTAATTAATTATTTAGTTGCAAATTAATTCTCAAAAATTGATTATAAAAATATATTAATAATGGAATAATTAATAATAAGTTATTAAATAATTAATTAATAATTGATATATCAATCATATAATATATAAATTTAATTTATTAATTAGTATATAGTTGATAAATAATAAATGAACAATAATTACCCAAATAATAATTAATATTAAATTATAATTATTAATTAATTATTGTTTAAAAATAATTACCAAAAATTGATCATGTAATATATCAAATAGTAGGTTATTAAAAAAACATTAGAAATTAATAATCATTTAATTATGTAACTAAAATTAATTATTTAATTAATAGATAGAATACTTATAAATTATTAATATACTAATTATTTTTTACTAGTACACTAATTAAGTACTTATAAACTAATAATTATGAGTACATTACTAATATAATAATTATTTTTATTATGTTATTAATTACCATTTTTTAAATTATTTAGCATATTAATTTATTATATATAATGTAATTACTATGTACTAATTTATAACAATATATCGGTTATTATTATACTACCAATATATTAATTTTTATTTGCTAAGTGATTATTAATTATTAATTACTTAATACACTAATTTTAGATTATTAATTATATGCATTCAAAATAAAATTTCATAATATAATCAAACATGATTTCACTTTTTTATTATACTCAAAATAATCTCTTAAAAAAAACAACCAAAGACAATATCAAAATCGATCTTAAAATAATTCTCAAAACAATCTTATTTTCACTTTTATATTAAAATAAAATCATTTTAAAAAGTTACTAAATGGGCCCATAATATTTTATTTCATTAGTTTCTAAGAAAGATAGGGGCAAATTAAAAAAAAAAAAAAACAATATTTGTTTGCTCGATAAATTGTTTACATTTTAGTTTTTTTTAAAAAAATAGATTGTTACGTTGTCTCTGTACCTCTTTTATTTGTCGACGTTTTTGTCTATTTTACCTCTGTGGAGGGAGCTTGATCCATAACGAGTAGATCCCTCGCATTGACGGCTGAATTACAAACTAAATGTGGAAAGACCAACTTTTAATGCATGGGCCACACAGAAATATTATTTATGTCATGAAAAGAAAATCAATATTTAGCAAATAATAACAATAAATTTAACAAATAATAATAATAATAATAATATAGTAATAAGGAAGCACTTCAAAAAAAAAAAAAAGTAATAAGGAAGCAAAAACATTTACAAATACCAACAACAAGAGGAATTAGGACATACTTTAAGGCTCAGAGAAAAAATAATAATTTTGAACATGTTTAGTAGCTTGTATTGTATAAAGTATATTGTATTGTATTGTATTGTTATAATACAATATGGTGTTTTGTGTCATGACATATTGTGTAAAATGTCAAAATGAAAAGTTTTAGAAATTTTAGGCTTAAAATGAAAATTTTTAAAAATTTGAGGTTAAAATATAATTTTTTTTTTAAATTGAGGTCAAAATATAATTTTTCAAAGATTTTTTGGTAGAAATAAAATTATTAAAAAAATTTAAGGTCAAAATATAATTTTTACAAAATATAAATTTGCATTGTGTCTCCTCAATTTTTAAACAATCATAAATTCTGGTATTAACCCTATGTCAGTCTAACCCCGACCTCTAGTCATGTCTCATGAATCTACTATAAAACAATTCAATACAATACACTAAAAATGAGTCGTATTCATAAACTGTAATAATTTACTATTTGTATTAGTTTATACAATAAAATGATCACACCACACATGTATTAGTATACAATACGGTGTTCTAATATGGTCAAATAAACATGTTCCGAAGGTGTTGTTGTCTCGCATAGAAATTTCCTTCGTTCATCAACCTTTTAAGGGTTGCTGAGAAGAGATTAGACAATATTGTTGATTCTTCTCCTAAGGGATTATTCCTGATTCTTTTGGTGCAGCCATGAACAAGACCAAAATAACATTAGCTGGAATTAAAAGAAGCGGATCTGCTCTGTCCCGTCATGCATTTATCTAATGTATCAGAAATACTTGAAGAGATAGATACTTGAATAGCTCTGTGTTCTTGCGCTTAAGAAAATTTAGATTATTAGAAAGGTTGACTTAGGATTAAAAAATTTAGAGAATTTTATAAGGTACTTTAATGTTACCTTAGAAGCCAATGCTTTTTTATAATACTTCAGGAAGGACGGATCTTCTCAAACACTCGTATTTGAATATACAAACCTACAATAACATTTCATAAGGCAAAAAAAAAAAAAGTAAATAACAAAAAAAATACAGAACCATGCATTATATGAATTTAATCTGATGATAAATAAAAAAAATTCTTATACAACTGAAAATTTCATATTAAAAATAATAGTTGTTTATTACCATTGAAGTTCTAATACCTTGCCTTGAGCGAGAGAGTACTTGAATTAAACTCTCTCTTTAGCATTTTGGTGCCACGTCTTATATCATCAATGTATTCATTTATGACGTTAAAATTAGAAGAGAAATTTGAGTTTGCCTTTA